TGATGATTAATGATTATGTCACCTATTAAATTTTAGATAATCTATTTTAACCAAAATATTAGAGAATTAATTTCATTTCACTTAAAAATATAAAGGGAAATATATTTTTTAAAAAAATACAATGGTTTATTTCAATAATAACTAAAAATAAAGGGATAATATATATTTTTTTCGCTACATCTTCATTAAAAGTAGCCATTGTGGCACATGGCTCTTCAGGTTAACTGCCATCCAACCAGTTTGAGGTGCATTCCCCTCTCCTCCATGGGTGGGTTTCAAGCCCGTTCCTTGACAACTTATTCAAAAAAAAAAAAAAAAAAAGTAGCCATCGTGGCTTGATGATTCGCCCCCAAGTCACAGAGCTCGGGGCTCTTTGGGTTTGGGAGTTTAACTCCCCCTAAGAACTTTGAAAAATTCCCTCCCCTTCCCCACAGCCCCGATGTATTATATTTGCTAAATCAGGTAAAAGGAGTGTATTAGACTCCAAAGTTTCATTGCAATTAAATAAAGTTCAAAGTAGTTGAAAGAAAATGATTAATACAAATTCGGTTTTACAATTAAAAATATAATCTAAATATAATCAATTCAATCAGTTTTTACATTTGTGTATATAATTGTATACTTAAATTTATTTATTTTTAATTTCAGATAAAAAATAATAAGTTTTTAATAAATGTGTTGAATTGAATATATATCAATTATTGTTCATGGTAAAAACTCTTATATAAGATTTTAATTGAACACAAATACAATTGCAATAAAATTTAAAATGCTGAAACTCTCAAATAAAATTTTATTTAGTAAAAACTCTTGCATAAGATTTTAATTAGACACAAATACGAGTTAAATATTAAAAATAATTCAGAGACTTTCAATAACTCTAAAATTTTCCAAAACCTTAAAGTGCTCTATAAACTTGATTTTTATAGAGGTGGAAATTTTATGAGAACACACACAACTAAAAATATGGGCGAATTTGGTGTTCATCTTCACCCAAAGCACCAGGCGGAAACTTATGCGGGCTCAGCCTAAGAGGCAGTCAATTGGAGGAATTGATTGCGAACTTCTTCCGTGAGCATTGACGCAAGAGGAATAGGCTTCCTTGCTTTCAGCAGTTGATGTTAAGTTGACATTCTCTACCAAAATATTGGTGCAACCGAGTGTTTCGCTGCAGCTTAATTTGATCACATTTGTTTTGTTCGATGTCCCCTGAATGTCTCTGAACGTAATATCACTTATTTGAACCGCAGCGGTCTTCAACATTTCAAATCAAATAAAATCAATTAAGTA